GAAAAATGGCCCCCACTTTTACGTTTGTAATTTTTGTTTTTCAGCATTTTGTGTTCTTGGGTGAAACTATTTCTAGTCCAGCCTTGTATGTTCAATTTTCTTATCTCATATACAAATATTTTATAACTTATCAATACACCGATTTAGTTAAAGTGTTTAACATTTGTTAATTTCATATCCTGAAATTTATTTATTGATTCATGATATGTACCATCACTGCTTTTATTCCAATTCCTGAAAGATCATAGTTTCTGTTTTGGTCAGGTTTATGGGGGAAAAGTTTTATTCTAAAGGTAGAATTTACCTTATAACATGAGCGTTGACTGAAAAGTTCATAGGCTTCTGAAGATATGTGTTATAACTTCCGTATAACGTTCATAGTTGCTGGCTAGTATGACTGTAAGAAAGGCTCTGAAAAATTTGTGTGAACAAAGGTTTAGTCACATAAGAATAGATATTGCTAATACATCAGTTCAGTGCGACAAGCGTAAGACGGGAAAGCGCTACGCCCACAGCTCCATAAGAAGACGTTCTACTTATAGCCGATGGAAGAGTCCATGTTTAAATAATAGGTGTAGAGAAGTCTTTCTAAACAACAAATTGAAAGCAAAGGAGTCAGAAGAATGTAGGGTATAGCGTATCTAAGAATCTTCTTTCTTTCATTACCGAAGTACACCTGTGACATATTTTCTAAATGAGAAACTCTCAAATTGGACGATGTTGTTTTGTATGTTGACACTTCATCATATCAGGTCCTTAAAGCTTGCATAACGCTCGTAATTGTTGCTTAGTAAGACTGTAAGGTAAACAAAGTGATGAAGGGTTTAATCACATGGGAACATGGATTGGGTATACAATAGTTCTGTACGACTGAAAGAACTACATCTTTGCAGCCAAAATTTGCCACTGTTCCACAGACAAAAGTTTTACTCCTAGCCGATGGACTCATAGCCGATACCCTATGTTTAAATAATAGGTGTACAAAACAAATATTGAAAGCAAGAGAGACAAAGGGAAGTAGTTTATAGCGTACCTAACTAATCTTCTTTCTTTCTTTACCGCATCTCGTTCTTTCTATATTTTCTCTTATTTAAGTATTCATTGTTTATAGATTGTCCGTTTCTTATTTTTCTTGCGAATATTATTTCTATTATAAAGTTCGTGTAAGACCCGCTATTTACCATAGACCCCTCCCGCGCCAACTGGGTTAGGTTGTGACACAAGGTCGCTTATTTAACATGGGTATCCCGAGCGTGAATACTCGGGCAACTGGACAAAATTTACTCAGCCCCATCCCTTAGGCGGGATCGGGCTCAAAGCTTGTCTTAAGTGTACAATACCACAGAACAGATACTACAATTTGATCATAGCCTCGGGACCGCAGGGCGCTGCAGTGATTTTTCAAGCGTAGTTTAGATGCGGCACAAGGTTGAAAGCACGCGGGACCCAGTGAGGATCGAAATCATTTCTCAGTCGTAATTTTTCTAGAGAGACAAGCGTGCTGACCATTACACCACGTTCGTATAAGGCTCATAGCTGTTGGTTATTAACAATGTAAGGTAGACCCTGTTAACAAAGGGTTGAGTAAAGGAGGCTTTAATCACATGAGAACATGGATTTAGAATACAACAGTTCGGTATTTACCCGAAGACTCCCCACAGGGCGGGATGTGGCAGAAGACCGGTTTTTAATGTGAGGCTTTCCGAGTGCGTAGACTCGGGCAAAAATTCCCTGCAGACCTCGTATACACGGAATTGGTTTGCTGTCTACTTTTCCCCAAGATACAACGCTGTCCGGAGGCATAGACTCGTCCGAGTTTCTCTCTGCCCGAAGGCGGATAGTACGACCTTTGGGAGCCTACTACGCTGTTCCATGAGCAGGCGATCGACTCATAGCACAGTCCATGTCTCAACAAGATATTAGTAGACATAGAAAATGGTTTTATTAAATACATGCACGTATATCAGAATACAACTGCTGGCCAACCAGATATTTTTTATGGTAAACTTGCATGTCTTAGCCTAGCAACTGGTATGTCCAAAATTAATATCTTGGTCAGCATATGAACTTTTCAGCCGGCCATCGTATATAAGAAATTAGCACGAAGAAACGAGACAGCCTTGGGCAATGTACCTGTGAACTTGTTAACGCCCTTATGGACCAACAGAAATGGGTGATAGCTTCATTTAGAATAGGCAGACAGATTATTTTTTTTTACATTTCATATTTTTCTCACGTCTACACATTTTTAAACGAGAGTTTAACACTTCGTTTGTGCTTTATTTTAACTGAACATTGATATTTGGAATGAAAAGCAGCACAAATGCCAAAAAAAAGTTCGAGTCGAGCCCAATTAAATAGACGAACGGCGAAGCCCTAATAAGATCTCGGCTCAACACAATATTAAACATCAGTCTGTGGGAAACTCGGGGTGACGATTTGGATCTAGTATCTAAGGGCTGTTTTGGTGGTTCGTGTTACTGCTCTGTCTTGATCAATTTGCTAGAGGCATTGAGCAGATTCAGTTATTGCTTATGTAGGTGTCACTTTTGTGTCTTTGGTTTCAACAATTTTGTGTTTTTTTTATACCTTGCAGTGAATGAACTAATGGTAGTAAATGGAATATTCAGGTTGTTTGAGATATTCCTGTAACTTTTACCTTCTTTCCAGAGCTTATCAATCAGTTCTTTTTGCGAATTAGTCAATTGTTTTACCTCTTGCCATGAGGAAAACCTTCTTGCACGAATATTAATTACATAATGATCTGTTTGTATTTCATAGGCTAAAAATAATTACTGATAACATTATTGGAACATTCTAGAATATGCCACTTGAATAATCCATAGTATTAAAGCAATTAATAAGTTTTAAAATCTGAAATTTGCATAGTACGAATAATTTTTCAAACATTAAAATGGGATTCATTTCCATTAAATATATATTATGCATATTTAGTTATTATACATCTGTATACAGTTAATTATATTAAAGTAGGTTTATTTATTAGTTGGCAATACAAGACATTAAACCTTTGTATGTTCATGAGTAAGACAAATAGTGGGGCGAGAAGGAAAGTGAGAAGGTTTTTATTGTCGTGCCCCCTGTCCTTCATTGAATTTTCCTCTAGCAATATCAGGTTGCGGGTCGTTGGATTATTGTTATTATTTTATCTCACCACCTGATAATAACTGATGGTTAAAACCCGGGTAGTGAAAAGGTAAACGTTTAATTATTTTTATGATATTAATCTGCTCTACACTTTCCATTTTGAACGGTCGATTGAAATACAGTATATATATATATATATATATATATATATATATATATATATATATATTATATATATATATATTAGTTCGAATTACAGTCGAATCCATTACATTCACTTACGTGCTAATGCAATTTTGAAAGGTATGAATCCTCTTCTTCTCCCCCTATTATTGGTAAGTTGCAAGACAGAACGGGTTCTATAGCCTTAGATGGCAACTGATCTAACGCAGAAAAAAAACTCTGCCTCGTTAGTTATGTATCCAAAGATACATATTCGTCTAAGCGTGTATCACGTATGGCACATGAATGATTGTCGAGAAATCCGTTAATTTTCGAGGGAGACGCGTCTAGCTCTGTCATCCTAAAGAAGAAAAATACGGATAGAATACCCAGGTAACAATTGGTAGAGTTGCGAAAAAGAGGCTCTTCGCGACGAAGCGGGAACAAACGAGTGGTTAACAGTAGGAGCCGTTTCGTCTATTAACGACTCCTGTTTTTAAACTCGTTTTTTTTTTATATATTTTTAAACCGGTTGTAGAAAACAAGAAGATTCAGTCAAATTTCCCGAGCAGGCGACAGCAATGCTTTCTGCCCTGTGGGGAGAGTTCATCTCAGATAACTTTTATTTTCTACAGATGAAATTTATTGAGACGCTAAGCGAAAAATATACAGCTGACACGACAAAACAACGATGTTTTGCCAAAGCAGTTCGCTCTTTTTACTCTAAATTGCCGAAAGGCTAAAAACAATGACAGATTCTTTATTTCTATTACAAAGATAGCGAAATTCCACTCGGGATCTTACCCGAACACAGAACCAAATGCGATGGAAAATGGAAACTAACTCCTTCAGTTAGTCCACCTTGCAACTGTTTCTAAATCTTATATATATATATATATATATATATATATATATATATATATATATATATATATATATATATATATGTATGTATATATATATGCATGTATATATATATATATATATATATATATATATATATATATATATATATATATATATATATATATATAAACACACACACACACATATATATATATATATATATATATATATACGTGGCCTGACGATTGCATATAGCATGAAACAGACTGTCGCCTCTAAGTGTTGACTTCTATGTTCACTTTTATATTTACACACGCTCTATCTCTGATATTGAGCACTTTATCCCATAAATATAGCACACTAAGACTATATTTCTTTATATATATATATATATATATATATATATATATATAACACTATTTTAATGTATACGCGTATATGAGTAGACGCTCTGATTATTTTAAATAGTATTTAATACGTCTATCGTCCTGTGGACTCAAGAAAAAATAATAAAAATAATATATTCCCCGTCACGGTTCGAACCTGCGTCCACTCTTTCTTGAAATTCAATTATCAAAGGACGTGTTGAATGTGTACGGTGGTGTAATGGTTATCGGAACGAAACGAGAAATCGGGGAACCGAATTCGAATTCCACTAGAAGTTTGTTACATTCGCAAATATTCTTAGAAATTAACCCATCTCTTCTCCTAACAATGGTATGAATAGTAGGCCAGATTGTGTCCTATAGCCTTGGTTGGCAACCAGTCTACTGCAGAAAAAAACGGCAGTCTACTGCGGGAATATCTTCTGGCTACTCAATTATGAATCGAAAAAACACGAACGCCCTATGTGTATCACTTTTGACACTTAACTGACTGTTTAGTGCGAATGTACACATTCAAAATATTTTTACCTTTTCAATTTTTGCTCAAATTTTTCTCAATTATATCGACTTAATTGCTTATCTTAATGTTTTATTTCTGTTTATATATGGTCATATAACCTGCTACTATCTATCTATCTATCTATCTATCTATCTATCTATCTATCTATCTATCTATCTATCTATCTATCTATGTTTTGCAACCTAG